TGAAATTTGATAGCACAGTTAAGTCAAGGTGCTTAACTAAATACTATGCTATAATGTTGAGTTTTATCAATCTTACAGCAAATAATGCAGGTGTTTCTATGAAGATAATCTAAAATGTCAAAATTTTTTGAATTTATTAAATATGAGGATGTTTGTAATTTATATTCAACTCCGACAAACACGGCTGTCACGTCTCCTTTTCTAGATTATAGCTAAATATGCTAAATGAAAATTGAGCAATTAAATAACAATTATAAGGTAAAAAAATTAAGATGGTAGGGGTGACTACTATGGAGAATTAATCATCACTTTTTTTTTTCAAATTAGTGAAGTAAATAGCAGGCATGTCTTTTTTTGTGAAAATATACATATTTTATAGAAACAGAATCCATTTATTCTCCATCTTATATTGCCAGTATCAGCCAAAAATATAAACAAGTTAAATCATTTGTTTACAAAACTAATTGCTTCCTTCGCTAAACAGCCAAAAAGTTTGAAACATTACATGGAACTCCAGAATGAAAAATCAGACTCCTTTATATAACTGAAAGTTGTAATGAAGAAAAAGGTTTAGTTTGCATCTTGTGAGGCTGCAGATCATTATGAACTATATTAAAGCTATTAGGGTGTGCTTAAATCATGAGTAATGAAGAGAATAAGTAAGTTTAGCAACATCTATATCCACTTTTGTTTAGTAAACTTTGTAGCACCTTACACCATATGGTTTACATCCAAGGCCAGATATTTGGCATTTACATGATTTTTAAGAAAAAGTGAGTATTTTAGTGATCATGTGATCATAGCTGTTATTTGTATATATATACTAAGCAATAAAGGCAGATTGCTCATGGTATTTCTGTTGTCAAGGAAGATATGGTGCAAGAATTGTTAAGAGCTTGCTTTATATTGACTAAAGATTCTAAAACAAAATATTTTTTCTTTGTGACTTTCTTTTATCCCATTGTTTAAAACTCCCTTTATCAGATTCTCCCCTTCTACTTACAAGCACATGCTAGTTTATGTGCTGATAATGGGGTACTTATTTCCTAAGCATCAAATGGTCATTAATGCATTATATAATTATGATATATCATATTATGAAAATAAAGATATGTCTAACTTGCCACTTGGGAGTGTCAATCAGGAGATTTACTGCTGCAAATTGACTGTTTATTTATATTAAATAGATAAGATATGCATGTACTTAGCATTCAGAAATTTCCCATTAACAGAGGTCTTTTTAAAAAGATGTTTTTCTCGTAAAATATTAAAGATTGCCTCCCAAACCTACATCATATTACACAACTTTCAAGTGACACATGTAAATAAATATAGTTTGCGTCATATATTCCTAAAATAAAAATATTATAACATTTTTATAACAAATAACGACTTTAATCTTTCACTGTGGTAAAGCACACTTTCTTTTGTTCATCTTTTCAGCATTACAACAACACAAGAAAATTTCACTGTCACACAAATGTCTTGGACAAATTACTTTCATTTTTACACAAGAAATCTTCTGAATAGAAGTGAATTACAAAAATTGTGTTGTCGGTCACAAAAAAGAAAAGATTAATCACGAAATTGATTTGATTCAACTAAATAAGATTAACATGCAGATCAGTCTAGCTTCTTTGTTGTTTAGACATGGAGGATGGCGTGCATTTAAGAAATAATCCTATCTGGAATGAAAACACGCATATGCGCTTTTTTCCCCTTAAAATGAATTTCCCACCCACAGAAATGTCATCACATGCTTCTCATTAAATGTAGATCAACTGTAAATACAATGCATGTCAAATAATTAGTGCACATGTTATAAATTAACCCTTAATGATGACTTAAACAGATCTCAATATCACAAACTTCATATGTAGCATTTAACAATATTAAAAAAAAAGTGGTTGGATTTACAGAGGAAATGAACCTGAATGGTAAAATAGCAGTGTATTTAAACTGTATTGATTTGAAATTGCTGAATGCAAGACTATGAAAAGAAAAGAAAATCCAGTGTTTAAATTAGTGGACTTTGTCTTTTCTAGGGCCTAATATGCATTATTTTCCATCTTGTACATATGCTTATACTTGTCTCAGTATCCTAATTATTTACAATTTCCTTCATATCTATAAATTTATTGGCTCTACTTGGTATCTGTTAATTTAGGAAATTATTAACCCTTTTAATTTCCTGTATCAATTAAAATATGCATATCCACACCCTAAACATGATACAATAAAGGTACAAAGGTCAAGTTCATGTCCACAACTTTATTAAGCTTATGGATCATGTACATCAACTTCTCATTTACAAACCAGGGGGCAATGCCAAAAAATATCTGGTTTTATTAATAACACAAATCTTACTTAATCAAAAGCATTAGACCAGGCTTTCTTTTTTAAAGAAAATATCCGACTTACTACAAGAACTTAAAGAAATGATGGTTTAGAAAATGATACAAACACATGGTCATGGTCCGTCATCATAATTATCCTACATTAAATATTGACATGTTATAATTTACATGGATGAACAGATTAATTAGTTTCTAATTGAAAAATTAAATTCATATTGCAATCTTTCAGCAGTTAGGTAGTGCCAGAACTGTGTTTTAATTAAGATTCTGTTTCCAAAGCAAACCAGATGGTTTTGAGAGACAAGAAACATTTTGCTCATTTAGGAAATTCCACTTCAAACAAGCCATCTTTAATTGTTTACATTTCAGCTTGCGATGCTTCCAAGTCAATACCAACATTTTTCTAGTGAAGCAAACCAACTGTAAAATGGCTTCCCCATACACTAATATACCAGCTAGTATAAACACAATAAACCTATTAGAAAACAGTAAGGAACAGATGAAAAAGTCATCATTTATCTTATCCTTTATTACATAGGAAGTCATCTCTGTCTTAATTTCTGATTTTGGGTTTTTGGGGAAATTGTTTTAACCTCTGTCATCACTAATTATTTTTTCCTGGGAGGCCGACCTAGCATTCATAGAAAAATCAAACCCTAGACAAGTTAATATTTCTATTTTCATTTGCCCACCAAGAACAGATGCTTCTAAAAGTAATAAGCCCAAAATCTTATGATTTTTTTCCTTCAAACTATGAATAATTTTAAGCAATATATCCTAGAAAACATTGTATGGATTACATCCCCCTTTTCACAGTTCACAAACATGAAATGCTAAAATTACTCAGAGATAAAATATCAAAATGGTATTTTTGTTGGGAAAAATAATTTTGCTTATATAATTAAATTTATACAGATATGCAATCTGCTGTTTTAATGAATCAGGACAAAGACTTCAATTCTGATACAGCTATATATATTTTTCTCAAAACTAAATTAAGAGCCATGATCTAATTTATGACTTTCTAGCTTGCAACATAAATAAAATGAGGAAAATACATCTGCAACTGGTACATGTCAATTTTTGTAAAAGATGGATAAAAATATCAAATATTATAAAGAACGACATGTAGATTATGGAATTAATCAACGTCCCGTTGGGATTTCGGTAACAACTTATCTAGGAAATGCTATTACACAAATGGAGTCCCTGCAAATTTTATCAAACCTTCATTACAATTTTATAATTCTGTGCATAGCTTTATTATATTATACTAGAGGAACTCAAATTACTGTGGTAGTATGTCTAGCATTTATAAATTTAACATGTCCCGTTTAGATTAATATCATCAGCTGATTCGGAAAGTCATTTGTTTAGGAAGACAAATATATTGATCTAATGGAGATAATCTCTGAAAATATATTATAACAAAAACAAAATTAAGACAACCTACTGCCAGAACTGACAGATAGAAAACAGAAATATAACTAAAGTAGAAGTTAAAAATTTGCTAGGGAGGAGACATATATATATGTTTTATATACCACTATGAACATACTACTGTACATATATTATACTTCAGGCTCCAGCATTTTCTGATTAAATCAACTAAAATACAGCACTAAAATTAAAGCAATTAAGAAATATCAGCTAATTTTCCGCAATATGACCACAGAAAATTGTAATCACTCTGTACTTAGAAAACTTATTATGATCCTTTATCCAAGTCGGCAAAACAAAAGAGAAGAAAACTATTTTTCTTATCTGATAAAATTCACTGACTGAAAAACCACAAAAAACCATTGATTTTTTATCAATTTTTTAAATCATGTACAGTCTAATTTGTGTTTTGGCTTTAATTACTACCCCAGATTAAATTAAGCATGAAAGTAAGACTGATTTAGTAGTGTCATAAGTTAGTCAATACTAAGCCATCCTTGAAATGTTTTGCCTTATAGTTTTGAAGATGGGATGGTGGCAAGGTGAATTATTCTGTCCCTATTCTAATAATGCTGAAAAGTCTTCTTTTAAATACTGAATTTTATACAATGAAAAACACAAAAAAATCAAGAACCAAAAACCAAAAATAAATGTGAAATGCAAATATAAAATAATAATAGTAAGATAGATATGTTGGGTCAGTCTCAAACAATGGCAAATGACCACTTATCTTCAAGTCACAATCTCCTCAATAAAATTTTGCAGGAATTTTTATTTTGTGCCATTCAAATATGCAGGTAGTATTTACTTCGGTACCCTTGGAGGGCATAATTTAATAAGACTTAGACCAACCAAAATCATTGATAGAAATGTAATTTTTCATGACCATTTCCTATGCGTTTGTTTGCCTCTTTGTATTATTGCAGTCTTCACACTCAACCAAAGACCCACCAGCCCAGGCTTGTAAAAATGCTGTCAGGCCTGTAAAAATTGTCTCTACAGGCCAATAGAATCCAACTAAAATGTTCATAAAACTCAGCTTCGGGTCTGTAGATTCAAAAGTTTATTGTGAAGACTGTTATTTTAAAACCTTCATAAAATTTCATATTTGATTTGGATTACACAGACCGCTTCAAGGAGTCCCCCTCCCCATCCCTGAGCTAGTAAAATAATTGAGTGATTTAGTTTGTATTAGTGACTTACCATATGCTGTACAGAGCGAAAACAGGGAAAATGCTAAATGAATAACAAGTGTCTTCATCTTTACTTCTGATCTGCAATGACAAAAAAAAATTAATAAAAATAAACTTTATTCCTTATCTTACCATTAAAATATAATATATATGGCATAATATATTTAAAAGATAAAATTTACACTAAACCTTTTCAACAACCGATAAGCTGAAACAATCTCTGATTGATGTTTACAGGTAATTGAAACAGTTCCTATGTTTACTGAGAAATTGCAATAAAATCTTTTTTTTTAGTTTTCATGGTTTATGCTTATTGAGAGTAAACCTTACAAAATATTAAACAAATGTTGTGGAGCATATATCATCACCCCTCGTCAATTTCAGAAATTCTTCACAAAGAAAAGATTCCTCAAGATTGAAGCTCATCTGTCAATCAGTGAATCGATAAAAAATCAACGCCTTCTAAGATAAGTTGATAGTGCAGATTTTTTTCCTCACATAAAACAGCAATATTAAGTTGCTATTATTTTAATTGTGGACTTAGCAAATTAAGGATTATACTAATGGGTATCTGATATGTCTGTCAACAAAGCTTAAAATATCCATAACAGAAGCTCATACTATCATTTATACTGGAACTTTGTCATAGTATATACATAGCATGTAATTATAGGTTGCATACAATGTATATGTATATGCTGTTCAATATTTTTGGTAATTTCAGGTCCTTTTTTTTTGCATTATATGATCTGAAAGTATTTTTCACTTTTTGTTTCCATGATTTTGAAATTTAGGAGAACTTTATTGATACAGGAAGAATGTTGATGACTTAAGAAAAGGGTATCATTTACTTACCTTTAGCAAATAAAGTCTTACATTACCAAAATAATTAATTCCTTTTAATTTTGAATGAGACCTTGATTTGAGCACATTATAAAGTCATATGATATATGTACTTCAGCGTATAAGTGGTTACTACAGCTAAATGTCAATTCACTATACACACTGATCAACAATAACTTTGTTAATTTCCACAAATTTTCGACTTTAAAATATCATTAGGTGTTCTTTCAATAGCAACTTCTACTTGCTCCGAATAAAGTAAATTTGAAACCGCCTCTAATATATACTGAATTTGACACTCATGTCAAATATTTTCTATAAAAGCCGGATTAGATTTTTCCATTTAATTCAGCATATGACACTGAAAGGAAATTCAGCCTTTTGATAGATGCATAACAATTCTTCAATGTACTATTGATTAACTATGAGTACATAATTTTCTCTCTTGAAGCTCCACAAATTTGCTTCATTTCAATGTTTCTCAAATTTAATCCAAAAATACAAAGGTTTTCACAATGAAAGTAAAATTAAAACATGTCAAAGCCACTAGAAAGGACAAAAACTGTATTTATTTACTCCGCTACTGTATAAATATTTGTGTGAACAATGTCAATCTGAAATCTGTAACGTTAATGAGTTGGTGACTCAATAGGCACACATCTTCCGATGGAAAAGATTAAAAAAAAAATCCATTTGCAAGCTAAGATCCCAAAGCCTCTATTTCTGTATTGGGAAAGAGAAACTGATTTGATTGTGAAGATTTCAAACATTGACAGTGTGTGTATGTGAATAAATGAATCCTTTTCATTGATTGTGATACGGTCCAACAAAAGTGTCATTGAAGGAAATGATCATCAGATAATAACATAAACTGGCCTCAGTGTGACAGGTAAATTATCCCTATGATTATATCCTTTTAATTCATTTTGTTCATAAAACCTTATACACTGCCATATATTGCTTTTCATGCATATATATATATAATTTTCTTTTTATTATATTTTTAAATTCAAAGTGAAATGTCAATATGCATTTTGGTTGGTTCTTTTTTAATGTAATATGGAATGTTTTCCCCAATAGCCAAACCAGTCCCTTTTGTTTACCTATAGTTTTTTATGGACAGTTGTGACAGAGCAAGACATTTTTGCTGTAGGTTAATATCTTTCAAATTAATATATATGGGGTACATCATTCTGAATCAGCAACCCAAACATCTTACCTAACTGGCCTTACTGTATAAGTAAGCTATATTTCTTGTCCTAATTTGACATTTTCCCAATGTTATCACTTTGATAATCAATCATAAGTCAATTAAAACCATTTACATGTAATGATCTCGTACTTAAGCAATAAACTGTAATCGAGTAATCCTTTTATTTAAAAATAATCCATCAATATTTACAGTATTTGTATATCTAGTTATTTTTAACATCGAAAAGTTTTTATGAACAAAGACTACAGAGTAAAAAAAAATACAATCGATCATAATCAAGCGCTCAATTTACTATCTGTCAAGGTTTTAAAACAAAAATCGTCTCATGAAAAGATACCGCTACGTGCATTCTGTTCTCCAGGCGAAACTATGATTACCTTTTTATTCTTATTGTGATCTATTAGTAGCAATAGCATATTAAAATCTGGTCCCATTTAATGAATAAACTGCAAACATGCATGTACCTGTGGTGTGCATCTAATAATTTTTGTACATTTTTGGGATTGTGGTTCAATGATTGTCCAACAGTCGAAAGACAATTTTGTCCAGTTTGGTCAGTAAGAAGGTGAAAAGACGAGGATTATCGAAAAGAAACTAATTTTGATTGGATGCAACAGAATTTTATTTACAGCATAGACCTGTCGGTAGTTTCATATTTCGCCGTGTAATTAATCTGTCGATGGGATGGGGCAACTAAATTTTCTGTCTTAAAAACGAAATCGGATAATGCTATTGCAGTTTTGTCATGGAGCACACAAACAGATTTAAATCTGCTACTGGGAGTCCCAAACTAATACATTTTCTATGGTCCCAGTTTCCACCATTTAAATTAGTCTGCCGAGAAAAATGGGTATATCTTCTTAGATTACACATCACACGAAATGGTGAATTTAATATATTTTATTGACAATTCAATGCCTGTAAATCATTGAAGAGTTTCCTATTCTAATTTTTATAGTTATAGAGATAAATTTCCAATAAATAAACTGATAATTGACTATCTAAGTATTACAAAAACATAAAACTACCGCAAACTGAATTTATGTGAGTGCTCCTCCAAAGGCGGCCAAGAAAAGCTATCTTACGACCATTTTCCATATCATTCATAAGTATCAGTGAACATTTAAAGTCACAAATCCGTAAATTATTGGAAAATGATTGAGTATACGCTGATCTCGGTACATAAATTTCCCGAACGTCTTTCATCCAATATTTACTTGAGAACAAGGTATTTATTGAATGGTTTAACGCGGTAACTTTGTTATTAACTTTTCAATTAGTTTTAATAACTATTCAGTATTTATTGGACCGTGTGAAAACAGAACAAATATAATCTGTGATCTTTAACATATATATATAAAGATGCCTTTTCTAGCATCTGGAACGACAAAGGCTATACATTGATGTAACATTAACAGAATGAAGCGTTTTATCTTGAATGTATAGGAAGGGGTGTTATCGAAAGAAATCACGATTTCTGGAAATTAATTAATAAGAAATTTAAAACATTGTTTAATATTGGATCAATGCGATCAAAACAGATTTTCTATTTTTAAAGAAAATGAAAATTGGGATTATTTTTTTAGTGAGAATACGACCTACAGCATGCTTATTTTGCTCAGTTATTTCTTAGTTCTAACACGAACCCAGATAAAACTGTAAAGTTACCGTTAAATAACTATACTACGGGGTGTGACCCCGTGTCCTTGTTTGTGTATACGCGAATTTCGCATTCCACCATTTCCTGGGAATACATAGATAGTTCAGTTAACTTAGGTATGAATCAATTAAATTAGATGGTCTTATTTGAAAAATTTAATTTAAACGAATTAAAATAAAACAAATTGAAAACACGCTCAAAGTTTAGGTAAGCCGTGATGAAAATACAAAATCTGAAAGAAAACTCAAGTGTATGAGACGTCCAATGTTTCCTAAAATAGAAATACAAGATGTGAAGTTTGCATAAATACCTGCTTAAAATTAATCCTTTAATCCAGTTCTACAGTGCACCTTGCGTGTTGCAAGCTTTTTTCATTATCAGAATATCTGGTGCTAAAATTAGTAAAAATACTAAGCCCAGCGGGGCGGAATGTCAAATCGGTTAGCACACATCTAATCAGGTGACATAGTGTTTGAACAATTCGCGACAAATGACAGGTCAATTATGATTAATCATTTATACAAAATATTATTATATGATAATTTAATCTAAGATCTAAAAAGTGTTCACCCATACTGTGACAGATATCGCCAAACAAAGTCCACTGTTGCTATAGTTTTTACTAAATTTTTGTTTTAAAATGCAATTAAGACCGAAAATGTGTGAATCAACAAAGTTGCTATTCCAAACTGTTTTTGTCCCATTCATAAGAGCCGAATATATTATTCAATTTTGATAGAAAAGTTATGGATTAATGAAGCATTATCGTAGAAGGCTTGTATGTTTGGAAATTGCTGACCAAATGGAATAAATCGTCAGTCAATATATAACACAGAGACTGAACCTGAAACACACTATTTTCTTAATAGATTTTTCAGCTTTGCAGTCAATATCTTTTTTTTTGTAGAAGAAGAAAGATGTCGTTAATGTTTTGTTCGATGACAAGTGTTAGCTGAAGTTTCACTTCAGGAGCCGATTTTCTTAGCAAGATTTAATTAATTTTGACGCAAATCACGCGAGCACTTGTCCTTATCTTATCCTATTTCTAAGAGTTATGTTACTACATCAAGTATTACATGGTCTTTTGGTGAATTACAAGTTGATAATGCGTTTTTAATGAACAATATATGTCATTTTAGAATATGACGGCATTTTACGTACTAATTCATTTAGACGGTCAATGATAACATTAGTTTATGTATTTGTTTTGTAACAGTGGTTTGTGACATGCCAACGGTTGTTAACTATAACCGTGCAATGGTTGTCCCTTCCCCCGTTAATTTAGGTTTACACAAATATTCATGTCCATATTGTTATCACATTTAGGTCAAATATCCGAGTCTATTTTCGAGAAAATATATTAAAAAAATTTCCTCAATTCATCTTTTCACTGGTTTCTCGATATTGAGAAAATTCTGAGAGCAAATACATTTATATTTACATGACGGTCGATCATTGACTAAGGGGGCATAAAGAGAAATCCACGGATTAACTTTGCTTAGGGGAGTTGGAACCGTTTGCTCTGTAAAAAAAATATATGATAGCTATTTTCCATTCGTTCCGTTGGTTGATATAGTTTAACGTTTGAATTTGTTAGGTTTTATGGACTTCTCCCTTTTTGAATTTACCTTGGAGTTCGATATTTTTGTTAATTCATTTTTTTATCAACTAAATTTATCAAAACTAACGTGTCAGTTTGAGAGTTTTAATGTGTGTTTTTTATTTAGACCCAAAACAGAAGAAAAATCTATTACTTGATTAATGAAAATTAGATTGCAACGGAAAATAAAAGCTCTGTTTACCTCCCTGAATGATAAAGTCATTGAAACAACACAGAAATGACGCAAGAAAGCTCTTTATATTTGACAGAAAAAATTGACAAAACTTAAAATAAGTACTGACGGTTTTGACACGGGTGGAATTATGATTTATATCAATTTACTGGCAAGGTCAAACACAAGATAAAATCTACCGTTACATTAAATTAATGAAAGCCCTTTTCATAGCGGTATTTAATCATTTAAAGTTAGTTTATAACAGTACTAACTTTATCATAGTCAGTGGTCGAGACCCGTCAATATTTCAGAAGTTGGCAATGAAAGTTTTTTTGAGTGTTATAGTTGTAAAATGCGGTTATTATATTTTTGAGTATTCCTTCAAGTGTCATCCATAAAAAAGGTTGTCAAATAGAGGGTAGATCTATGGGATATCTAAAAAAGTAACTTGAAATCAAGGAATTTAAGACGAAGTGTAATATAAGAAAGAATCACGGAAATGTGAAATGTGAATAATACCTTACACCTGGAAACTTACCTGCTTAAAATATTGTGATGATGATCAACAGAGATTGTTATCGGACATACCTGTCATGCCAACCAATGTACAATTTTTATCAAATTAAGATAAAATTTCATACCTGCTTTGATACTGTAGATTTTCTTCCTAAGGTAACAACTACATCCAAGCAAAATGTCACTCTGTTTGTTTTAACCAAGAATAACAAAAAATACAAGACAAGAAACAATATTGGACGTCTCATTAATTCAGATGTATATCATATGTAAAGACAAAATCTTGCACTATACGTGTCAATCGTCTATCAGGTGTTTTTAGAGTTTTTGTCATCAATTACATGACATCCATATTAATTTTCCAGCAATTACATATATCAATAAAACCATAACATGACAACTGTATCAACATTTAAAAAAAAACGACTAGTAAGTTTATACAAAGTTCATTGTAATCTATGCATAAATATCAAGTAATCAATTGCATGCAAATTTACTAGTACATGTTACAAAAAACACAATACAGAAATCTTCCAATTGTGTTAGGTAACAAATTAGATTAAAATCCTCACCTTGAAAAATAGTTAATCCGAGCAGCTGTTTATGAAATATTATAATTATATATGTCAACTTTTTCGCATCCTTATAAATTGTCACTCGACACTATATGTTATCATCTGTTAATATAACATGGATTCGAAATTCATTGAACAAAAGTTGGAAAATGAACTAAGTTTTTTCCTAGTAAACATTGAAAAAGAGTTTGTATTCGTCCAGCCCTCAGCTATACAAACAACTATATTAATTGGTTGCTCTTTATAAGTTACGATATGAATTAAACTCCTTGTAATAGACACACCTTCACGAGTGCAGCCTTATTTTCTATGTAAATAAAGTGAAAACTTCACTAATTCTCTATAATATGAAAATCTAAACATGATTAAGTTAGTAGTCACGTGACATGGAAATACCTATAGAACGGAGAGCATGTGGTTTTAACAAGGTTAAACTGATAACGACAATAAATTATCAAGTTGACTGTTCTTACACAATTATGACAATTTTCTATACCACTAAATAGTATATGCACATGGACAAACTTTGTTTCACAAATGATCGGAAACAGTTCTTGCAAATACGAAGACCTTAGACGGAAATTAAGCTTTTTATATGCATATTTTATAGACACTAAACTACTCGACCAAACATTGAAGAGTCCTGCAGAAGAACAACATAGTAAATACTAGTGCTCGAGTACTAGTGAAACTGTTTTGAGCTTTGGTGAGGCAAATCAAAGATGTGTCGAACCAAAAAACTTGAAAATGCTTTGATTAGGTTTATACATGGTATCAGAAATCCATTAGCTGATACTATATCATTATGTTTTCACTGTGTAGGTAATCCCTATTCTCTATCTATTGGTTATATTTTTATTATTATATTTCAGACTACATGTTAAAGTCTTATTTTTTTCAACTTTCAAGTTTTCGGTTTCATGCGCCTTTTTCTCAAAATACTGTTTATACATCTTGTTTACCAAATTAGAACTTTTCAGTTTCAATAGAGATTCTGCTAAATTCTTATCAATGGACGTTAAGCAACGCCAAACAATCAATCAAATTTCTAACTTCATCCTAAAACACATTCGAAACTTTTATACAATCTCAAATGAAAATGACTTTATAATTTTCGTGCGTCTGAAGTCCTTTTCTGTGTTTACACTCATCAGGAACACTCTAACGCAAACGTTTGAAAGTCAGAGATGTAAAAATATAGTAGGAAACGACGTTAGGAGCTATATGTATATGTAGCGTCTGATGAACAAAAGCCCAAAAGTTCTATAAAACAGTATTTGTTATTTTATTTTGTTTTTGTTAACATTATTGCATGGAATAATAAGAAAGCCTGTGTTTGGAAATGATACCTCAGAGAATCAATATATTACTGCAACTTCAATGGATTCTCAATATTCAATTAATTGCACTCAAATATATTATTTTATATGATTTTGTTAGAAAGGGGAAATAATTTTTAATATTCATGATGCAATATATATATAAGTACAACTTGTTTTTGTAAACAAATGTAATCTTGTTTTAAATAACACCATCACTCTCTCTGCAGTTGATCAGTAATAATGAGAGGTTTGGTAGTTTGCGATATTTTTATTCTTTATATTTCTTATCATGGATATGAACTCTTCTTGCAGACAAGACTTTAATATCAATATTTTTGTAGATAAAACTCAGTTATCTTGTGATTTGTATTGTTAAAAGGGTGAAAACAACATTTAGCATAATCAACTCTGTGTTTTACAAAAACTTTTAAAAATGGAGGATTTGGGAAAGTCCAAGATTAACCAAATTTCTTTTTAAAAAATAAATATTATTCTTGTTTTTTTATAAAGTCACAAATAGAATAAAGCGTTGTGTAGTATAAAACTGTGAAATGATTCCTGCACTAAATTTAGGAAGATCTTCATCGCATTTTCAAATTCCTTGAAAACTATTTATTGTGCGCAGAGTACTTTAATATTAAAAGTTCATGAGGTAGTACATTTATATCAGGTGCATTTTTGAAGCACTCTCAAAATGTTTGTTGAATTCTTGATTGTTGAAACATTCAATAGTGCAAACACATAATTATGATTTTAATCAATAGTATTGCACCTCTCTTAATGTTGATCATTCACTGTGAAAAAAATGATTAATATTTTATCACTTTGTTCTGACCTTATTGTAACTTCCAGTCGATTCTATCAAGATCTCCGATCTTTTATATACTACGGTCGTCATCACTTTCCCCCTAACTGCATAGAGTTTGTTCCGCAAGAAATAGTTCCTGTCAGACTGAAACGCCGATTGGAAAAAATACTTTTCTACTCCCATTAAACGGTACCAATTTTACTACACCAGATACCCATTTCGACAGTTCATGTCTTCAGTGATACTCGAGGCCAAACTTTATGAAAACCAAAACCTTATAGAAACGTCGAAGAGCTATATAATATCATCAAAAAGGACAAGAAGTTTTCCAAAACAGGCGAAGAAACCAGGAGGGAGATTCATTCCATAATTTCAAATGACTCTGTAAGTTTTACAACAGCTAATTTCAACAAACAATATCCGTATAAATAACAGGAAAGCCTGGGGAATATTGTCTTAGCTAATCGTGTTGTCTTTCATATGTTCATATGTCACATTAGTTTGCATAAAATGGCATACATAATTATTTATTTATGCCAAGATCATTGCATGTTTGATTTGAGAGCCATTGACGAGTCTTGTGTAGACGAAACGTGAGTCCGGCGTAGTAAGGTTTAAAAGCTAGTATCTTTGAACATTTTTTACCATTTTTGTTTAATCTTAGCTCATTCTTATATAGTCAAAACGATTTACAAAACAAAAGTGACACACACCGTTTCTTTGTGTCTTACCTGCATACTTCCTTTTATAAATGTGACAACTACTTTTTCACAAAGTTTGTAATGTTTTTGATTGATCTTTAAATAAATATAGACATAATGATCCTCCTAACTATAACTGAATACTCCCTCATCAGTAGATTGCATTTGATTTGATAACTTTTTTGATATAATATGCCTGCAGTTTCAGCTGTCATGCTTTAACTCCTACTTCCATTTTTTGTCCCCATTATACAGTTGTAAGTTACAAGCATAAACACAAAAAATAGTTGATAAAGTGCTTAAGATCAGAATCCAATAACAGAGTTATTCTCTCTGGTTTTCAAATATTTCATACGTAGTTGGAACTATCAATTATAATTCTTGGTTTTGTGTTAGACTCTGTTGGATAGTTGTCTCAATCATAGTACATATCATTATTTTATAATCATTCTATTTTTCCGGATCGACATATCTTCGTTTGGTCCTACCATATCTATAACATGATGCTTTAATACATCTTTTTCCATATTCATGCAAACGCAGATACAAATACAAATATCTTATTTTAGGAAGGGACCATTACTTTGTAAAAACTCTTCTGATTCGAGCAAAAAGTTCACAGACACTAACATCTTGATTTTGTAATGACAACTTATTTTTTAAGCTTGAAGGACATATTTGCCAGCATACAATCGACTTGCCTAATGGAATTAAATGTGCGTCTTTACTTCCCGGCTTGCTAGTGGTAGGACGTATTTGTCAACATACAATCGACATGCCTATTGGAACTAACTGTGCCCCTCTGCTTCCCGACTTGCTAATAAGCATCTCTTTATTCGCGCGCCACTGATGAGTCTCATGTAGACGAAACGCGAATCTTGGAGTTCGGTATTTTTGTATCAAATTATAATCTTTGTATCTTTGAAGAGTTTTTACATTAAGAAATTGACAATAAGGGTTGGTTTAGAACTAGACTTTACCACAAAAAGATGATTTCAATTTCCCCATTAATTTGAATGTGAACTTTTCATTTCTATGTAAAAACATTCAAGCAGTACAAATCTCCTAGTTGATACGATATACCGGAAGTAGCGTTACTTCTCATGCCTTCCTTGATGGAGATATACTGCTTACAATGAAGCTATTGCAACAAGAGTTTCAAATGGTAAATTTACAGTCATAGTTTCGTCGTGTTTTACGGACGCCACCATTATTTCGTTGACCGTTATGGAATATCTGTGTCACATTTGACCACGGATATGTTCTATTTGTCGCCATCACAATCTATTCCTCTTTTATTCGATTGTGATATCACCGAATGAGACTTATCGTCGGATTGTTACTTATATGAACAACACGACGGGTGCCAAATGTGGAGCAGGATCTGCTTACCTTAACAGTTTAAACTTTTGAATCGACCGACACTTATGAGTCAGTGCGTCTTGTGTATACACAATTATATGCCGGGTATATTTGATTAATTTGTACCCGTCCGGAGCACATGATGCACTCAGGTTTTTGGTGGGTTCGTGATGCTGAATCTTATTTTTCGGTGTAATTTTTTGTTATTGTTGTTTACTTTTCGTCGTTATTCTTTTTGCCATGATTTTGACTGTTTTTTTTTATATATAGTTTTTGATTGCTACCTTGGTATATTCTCTCTGTTTTAATGATTTAAGCTAGTGGATATGGCATAATGGTTTTATACTATATGCTGTGCATGATTGCACGTCTTAAAAGTGGTCTTTAAGGTCTTTAAGGTCCAGATTATTGATATTATATTTTTTTTGACTAAAATCGATCGGATTGTGTCAGACCATTGATGAACCATTCTGTTCAAGGATTTTCTCAATGTAGAATTGTAAAAAACGGAGAGAGAGAAAAATAGACAGCCAGTAACAGTCATACTTTTAATATGAATCTAATGTTTCTAATATCATTTCAATGGAAACATCATAACTTTCCAGCTACTTATATCAAATCCTACAGTGCGCAATAAATTATCGATTTGATGTGTTTTATATATATAATCATTCATATTTAAAATAAAGATATTCCCATTGAGTAATAGATTTCGATTTATTTCCCATCTAGTAAAGGTTGTTATTAATAACCAAAAAAGGAATGAACAATTAAGAAATATCCCTTATTGTATAGATACAAAGTTTTGATAATTTATTTCTTGTATATTTGGCTTTGCTTCATTTCGCCGTATGCTAGTTCCATCTGAGCCATTTGGACAAGTACTCTGTTGAATTTTAAATCAAGTGAAACATTAAGGTTCTCGCTAATTTAGCATAATTAATAAATCTAACATAAACAGCAATAGTTGTCCTTTTCTAGATTTAAACATTTCAATTCAAAAGGGAAACTCCATACTAAAATTAACGACAAAAGAGACGATTTTTCATTCCCTATTGTTAATTTTCCATTTTTTAGACGGCGATGTTCCTTTGGCACCATAATGCGGTGTTTATATATTCCAACTCGTTCGTTATGCCCGTGTGTGTAGTGTTGTCATAG